GAGAAAAAATACTACGCAATGATCCTAGTTTGAAGATATTAAATTTTTTAAACACTTTGTGTAGAAAGCTAGTGTGATTAATATGAGCAGTTTCTTTTGTAAGATTATCTGGGCACCTTGTCGTGGTGTACTGGTTAGCAAGCTTGTCTGAGTAGTGAGTTGGATCCTCACTGGGTTACCCATATTTTCATCCCTGTGCTACATCCAAACTACGCTCAGAAAATTAGTGGTATAATCGTTAGTAAGCTCATATTCGTCATCTCTCGTATTGAATTGAAGGTAAGGTTCGTGTTAGGCCAATCAGTATTAAAAAAATTCTAGGAAGACCTTAAGACAGAAAAAAGAATTTCAATAAAGAAAGTTTTCTCTCGGAGAAGCCGTGTAATTTGAATATAGTGGACAATTTTAAAAATCGAATATACATTTTTAAATAGATATTACAATTTATAAACTAAAATTTTTTTTTTTTGATATTATGAAAATAAATTATTTACTTAGATTTCGTTTTCTGTATTGCACTCAGGAGAATTTTTCAGAGGCTTAATACTTCTACTAATATTGATACTACTACTACTACTAATAATAATAATAATGAACTTGAAGTTTCTGTCTATATTTCTGAGATGAGGTATTATGTACACTATTTTCATTATTCGGACTATTGTCCTCATCTTTGTCGCCATATTTATTACAACGTTTCGGCCGTTGTACGCTCCGGCCTTCTTCAGGTGTTGGAATGTCGAACTGAACCCTTTATTTCGCTCTCTGGGGTAACTGTTCAAATTTATAAATCTACCATTCGTCCGTGCATTGAATATTACTGCCATATCTGGTCTGGTGCTCCGGCCATATATCACAAGATTTTCGACAAAATATAAAGAAGGACCTGTAATGTTATCTGCTCTGAGCTGGCATCTCGGCTTCAGTCACTTTCCCACCGTCGTGACGTGGCTTACCTCTGTCCTTTCTATAAATATGTTCATGGCAATTTTTCTAATGCGCTCTCCTGATTGGTACTTCAACTGCAGGAATTTAAGCGTACTACTAGAGTGGCAATTAGGTCTTACCGTTTTTATGATGAAATAGTTAGATAGAACCGTAAGTTCTATTCTAATAGTTTCTTCTCTCGCACTTTTCAGCTGTGAAACACTCGTCTGATTTCATGCTTCCCTGTCACATCCATTCATCAAAAATGTAAATGCAGCGTCAATCGCCATCTTCCTTAATTCTGTTCTCACTATTGTCCTTTCTCTCCTATTCCCATTAACCTCCTTGCGTCTTAGGGGCATTATCTCCTTGCTTGGGGGGAAATGTCTTAAAAGCAAGAGCAAATATTTCAGTTTAAAAATTAAGAATTAAGGTCTAAACCTAATTAAATTTCACAAGAAGGGCTGGTTGCGCGAACCTGAGGTCATTTAGCAATCAATCAGCGTGGTCCTTACTGCGCATGCTTAAGCCGATACTTTACATTGGGGATACGCAATCCGTAATTTGACAACTCTGAGCGAGCTTGTACTTCATGTCTGTATCCATTCTTCGCACAGTGTGCAGATATTTTTTTCTTAAAAACATTAACTATCAGCCCGGCCTTCTAAGGTCCAGATTTATCTCCCCATGACTTACGGTTTTGCTAACATCGGTGTTGAAAGGAAGATTACAAGATTATGAACACGACGAGGCAGCTTATGCTGATCCTAAAAGATTTTACAGGCTGTTTTGAATACAGACAAGAACACTGGTATATATATGTGCGGTCCTAAAGGGAATACTTTGAGGAAGTTTAAGTCACCATTGTCCTAGGTAGGCTGATTATCCGCTAATATTAAAAGGCTGGGTACTTTCTTAAAGGATCTTGAATATACATACTTTCAACCACAAATGTATGTGTGTGCCTTGTGCGCGCGTGTCTCTGTAGTATTGCAAATGGAAGTGTGAGTTAATTGGAGTTATACAATTGGATGAAAACATTTGTGGATATTCTCGTGGACTGTGAGTAATTGAACAGTACCGAGAGAATTTTAATTATAGGCAAACGCTTCAAATGAGCTTTGTCCAGTGGCCTGAGGCTTTTTCCTTTGGACGGGCGACGAAGCGGCGGCTGGTTGTAGGGCATCAAAATGCAATAGGAAAGACATTAAAGTCAATAAGCAAGAAATGGAACGTAAAGAGAGACGTGAAAGAAAAGAAGAGAAAAAGGCAGGGAAAATATATACGAAATGAGTGAGGGAGAGAAAGAGAGACAGAAGTTGTTGGTAGAGGAGATGAAGGAGTGAGATAGAGAGAGGAGGGAAAAGATGGTGGGAAATAAACCGCTGGAGAAGAAGAAGAAGAAGAAGAAGAAGAAGAAGAAGAAGAAGAAGAAGAAGAAGAGAGAGAGAGAGAGAGAGAGAGAGAGAGAGAGTGGTAAAAGCTGTTAGAAAACAGGAGGAAGGGTAGAGATAAATAGAGAGGGAAAAGATGGTAGGAAACAAAACGCGGGAGAAGAGGAGAGATAGAATGA